TTTCGGAACCCAATTCCCAATTTGGGAATCCCATTCTCACTCTGGGAATCCCATTCCCAATTTCGGAACCCGATTCCCAATTTGGGAATCCCATTCCCAGTTTTGGAACCCGATTCCCAATTTGGGAATCCCATTCTCACTCTGGGAATCCCATTCCCAATTTCGGAACCCGATTCCCAATTTGGGAATCCCATTCCCAGTTTCGGAACCCGATTCCCAATTTGGGAATCCCATTCTCACTCTAGGAATCCCATTCCGAATTTCAGAACCCAATTCCCAATTTGGGAATCCCATTCTCACTCTGGGAATCCCATTCCCAGTTTCGGAACCCGATTCCCAATTTGGGAATCCCATTCCCAGTTTCGGAACCCAATTCCCAATTTGGGAATCCCTCTGCCGACCCTCTCCCCATTTCCCTCCACTCCCAGCCCTCTCCCCGGACCATGCCGGTCCCCCCGTCCCCGCCGCTCTCCCGGTGCCCCGCTCACCACCCGGTTCCACACGGCTCCGTGCTTGCTCTGCACGTCGGGGGTGAGGCGGATGAACTGGGTCATGACCATGGCGTTCCCCAGCAGGTCCCAGAGCCCCGAGCTGGCCGAGCCCACACCTGCGGCCCACACGCACCGTCGGTACCGGGACAGCGGGCCCCGCGCACCGGCGGCACCGGGCGGCACCGGGCGGCACCGGCCCGCCTCCCCGCTCACCCTGGTACGGTTTGGACAGCGAGTGCTCCCGTTTCAGGTGCTCCTCGGTCTGCTCGGCCGCCGCCCCGCCGAGCCCCAGCGCCACGGCCAGCACGGCCAGCCCGGCCCGCCACCGGCCCGCCGCCGCCATCTTCCCCCGCCGCCGGCCCCGCGCGCCCATTGGCTGCTTCGCGCCGCTGCTCCCGCCCACCGGCGGAAGCGCAGATGGTGATTGGGCAAGTGAGGTGTCTGTCAGCTCGGGGCGCGAGGGGGGTGGTGGGTAATGTAGTTCTGGCGCCCGGTGATGGCAGCCGCCACTGAGGTGGGCGAGCTCTCTTCTCCCGGGCCCTGGTGCCACCCTGGGTCTTGGTGCTACCCCCAGGGCTCCTGGTGACACCTCCAGATGTTCTGGTGCCACCCCCAGATGTTCTGGTGCCACCTCCAGAGCTCCTGGGGTCACCCTCAGGGCTCCTGGTGCCACCCCCAGGGCTCCTGCGGACAACCCCAGAGGTCCTGGTGCCACCTCCGGATGTTCTGGTGCCACCCCCAGAGCTCCTGGTGCCACCCCGGGTCCTGGTGGCCCTGAGGATCCTGGTGCCACCCCGGGTCCCGATGTCCCCAGGTCCTGGTGCCACCCCGGGTCCCGATGTCCCCAAGCCCGGGTGCTCCTCAGGCTCCCGATGTCCTGCGGGTGCTGCGGGGGCGTGGCCACATGCAAATGAACATGGGGGCGTGGTTTTCTGCATGACGTCAGAACTGAGCACGAGCAGCTGCGTTCCCCTGGGGCGTGACGTCACGGCTGCGGGCGCGGCGTTTGAATTCCGGGGCGGAGCGTCCCTCCTCCGCGCGTGACGTCACGGCTGAAGTCATGGCCGGGGCTTCCCTCCCCCTGCTGCTTCCTCCTCGACGCGTGACGTCACCGTGAACAGAGCGCCCCTACTTCCTTCTCAACGCGTGACGTCACGGCTGGAGGCGTACCCACAGTGCCCCCCCACTCGTGACGTCACCCTCCGGCCGCGCGCGGTGGGCGTGTCCTCGGCGGCGGGGGCCGGCGCGGCCGTGACGTCACCGCGCCGCCGCGCCCGCCCGTGCGTGACGCTGCCGCCAGTGCCCAACATGGCGGCGGGCGGCGGCGGCGGCACCGGGGGGACGCCGCTCCGGCCGGGCCCCTCGGCGCTCGCTCCGCCGCCGCTGCCGCCGGCGCTTGTCCCGCCGCTGCTCGCGCTGCTGCTGCTGCTGCCGCCGCCGCCCGGCAGCGCCGCCGCGCCCTCCGCCGACACCGTGGTGCTGGGGCTGCGCTTGGAGGAGAGCAGCAAGCCGGCGGCGCCGCCGGCCGCCGCGGAGGAGCCGCGCGGGCCCATCCGCCTCACGGAGGGCAGCGAGGCCCTGCTCCGCCTCTACGGGCTGGGGCTGGGCCCCGGCGCGGCGCAGCGCGTGGCCTTCGCCGAGCTGCGGCCGCACGGCAACGCCTCGAGCGGCAACGCCACGTGCCGGGAGCGCTCGCAGGACCTGCTGGTGCGGCCCGGGCCCGCCGAGCCCCGCGACACCTCGGCGCTGCTCCGCCTGCGGGTGCAGCCGCTCCGCAAGCACGAGCGAGCCAAGACCTACGTGCTGTGCTCGCAGCGCCGGCCCGGCCAGCCCTGGCTGCCGCACCAAGGCGCGGACGGGCACGTCGTGGTGCTGGAGGAGAAGAAATCGCTGCTGCCGCTGTGGCTGCAGGTGATCCTGATCGCCGCGCTGCTGGTGCTGTCGGGGATGTTCAGCGGGCTCAACCTGGGCCTGATGGCGCTGGACCCCATGGAGCTGAGGATCGTGCAGAACTGCGGCACCGAGAAGGAGAAGCGCTACGCCCGCCGCATCGAGCCCATCCGCAGGAAAGGGAATTACCTGCTCTGCTCCTTGCTCCTGGGTAACGTGCTGGTCAACACCACGCTGACCATCCTGCTGGACGACCTGATCGGCTCCGGCCTCGGCGCCGTGGTGGCCTCCACCATCGGCATCGTCATCTTCGGCGAGATCGTGCCGCAGGCGCTGTGCTCGCGGCACGGGCTGGCCGTGGGCGCCAACACCATCGTGGTCACCAAGTTCTTCATGCTGGTGACCTTCCCGCTGTCCTACCCCATCAGCAAGCTGCTGGACTGCGTGCTGGGCCAGGAGATCGGCACCGTCTACAATCGGGAGAAGCTGGTGGAGATGCTGAAGGTGACGGAGCCCTACAACGACCTGGTGAGGGAGGAGCTCAACATGATCCAGGGAGCGCTGGAGCTGCGCACCAAGACGGTGGAGGACGTGATGACGCCGCTGCAGAACTGCTTCATGATCAACAGCGACGCCATCCTGGACTTCAACACCATGTCGGAGATCATGGAGAGCGGCTACACGCGCATCCCGGTCTACGAGGACGAGAGGTCCAACATCATGGACATCCTCTACGTCAAGGACCTGGCCTTCGTGGACCCCGACGACTGCACGCCCCTCAAGACCATCACCAAGTTCTACAACCACCCCGTGCACGTGGTGTTCCACGACACCAAGCTGGACGCCATGCTGGAGGAGTTCAAAAAGGGTGAGGAGAGCGGCCGGGAGGAAAATTCCGGGCGGGATTTGGTGGGCAGGGATGGAGCTGGAGGTGCCAGAGCGGCCACGATGCCAAGGGAACCAGTGACAGCTCGGGGGTCACCAAATTTGAGGTTCCTTCCAGCCCCAAACCATTCCACGGTTCCGTGTTCTGGTCCAATTGGGAATTTGGGAAGGAATTCTTTTTAATCCCAAAATTCAGGGATTTGGACTTCCTGCATTTGGAGCTTGCCCACACCGGATCTCCAGTGGCCACAATCCCAAGGGAACCAGTGACAGCTCGGGGGTCACCAAATTTGAGGTTCCTTCCAGCCCCAAACCATTCCATGGTTCCGTGTTCTGGTTCAATTGGGAATTTGGGAAGGAATTCTTCCTTTTAATCCCAAAATTTGGGGATTCTGACTTCCTGCATTTGGAGCTTGCCCACACCAGATCTCGTGGCCACAATCCCAAGGGAACCAGCGACAGCTCAGGGGTCACCAAATTTGAGGTTCCTTCCAGCCCCAAACCATTCCACAGTTCCGTGTTCTGGTTCAATTGGGAATTTGGGAAGGAATTCTTCCTTCTAATCCCAAAATTCAGGGATTTGCACTTCCTGCATTAGGAGCTTTCCCATACCAGGAACGTTTTCCTTATTTTTAATTCTTATCCCTGGAGGTTTTTGGAGAACAGGGAGGTCACCAAATTTAAGGTTCCTTCCCACCCCAAACCATTCCATGATTCCTTGTTCTGCTTCAGGTGGGATTTTGGGAAGGAAAGTCCCAAATTTGGGAGTTTTGACCTCGTGGATTTGGAGCCTTCCCATGCCAGGAATGTTTTCCTTGTTTTTAATTCTTGCTCTGCTTCCCAAAAATCGGCAGCAGGAGGAGGAAGACGATGTGGGACAGTTCCCAGGTGGAATTTGCCTTTTTTGGGTTTTTTTCCCAGTTTTTCCAACCCAACCCCACAGTTCCTGTGGGATGTGAGAAGCTCCAGGTGGGATTTGCCCTTTTTGGGATCTTTTCCCAAAGTTTTCCAGCCTGCCCCTCAGATAAATGAGAATTCCCAGGTGGGATTTTTCCCTTTTTAGGTTTTTTTTCCCATCCCACATTCCCCAATTCCTTTGGGATGAGGGGAAACTCCCTGGGCTCATCTTTGTGCCACATTCCAGGGACATTCCAGGGACATTCCAGGGACATCCCGGGATTCCCAGAGGTTTGGGGGATGCTGTCCCAGTCCAGCCCAGTTCCCCAAACCAGTGCAGCTCTGCTGGGCTGATCCCGATTAAGGGATTTAGGCTCCCTCCCTCCTTCCTTCCGGCCTCAAATCCCAGCCCTGGGATTTTTCCAACGGGAATTTGCAGGGTTTGGGGTTTTGGAGGTGAGCCCCACAAATTCCTGCTGGATTTGGGACCTCGTTGAGCCGGACAGGAGAAGGAATAATTAAGTGGTTGTGTTAATTGTGGGGTTTGAGCTGTGGGGATTGCCCTTGGGGTGGCAATTCCCAAATTTTCCCCGTTTCCAGGCTTTGAGTGGGGAATTTCCCGCTGGAGCCGGGCTGGGAGAGCTGGGAAGGTTCTCCTGGAGAGGGGAAATTCCTGGTAATGTTCCCCTGGAGAAAGGAAATTCCAGGGAACGTTCTCCTGGAGAAAGGAAATTCCAGGAGGGCTCAGGTTCCTCCAGGAGAGCTGGAGAGGGACTGGGGACAAGGGATGGAGGGAATGGCTCCAAATGGGAAAAATGGGGATTTAAATGGGATTTTGGGGAAGGAATTCCTGGCTGGGATGGAATTCCCAGAGCAGCTGGAATCCCTGGAAGTGTCCAAAGCCAGGTTGGAGCCACCTGGCACGCTGGGACTGGATGATCCCTGAGGTCCTTCCCAACCACTCCAGAATTCCATGGGGAGCTCTGCTGTCCCAGACGGGGTTAATTAGTGTCATTTGCCTTGGAGGTTTAATTAGAGTCATTTACCGTGGAGGTTTAATTAGTGTCATTTGCCTTGGAGGTTTAATTAGAGTCCTTGCCCTGGGAGGGAGCCCGGCCCAAGGGCTCGTTTATGTTTTAATGAGTTTATTGCTCCAGGGAGGGACGGGATGGGCTGGGACACCTTGGGGACATGGAAGGGTGGGGACAGCCCAGGGTGGGGACAGACAGGGGACAT